CACAAAATTCCAAAATAAAAAGTTCCTTGGAGGAAGGCCAGTTGTGTATATAGTGCTAACGATCATGTAATTATTTAATCAGTGTCTCTAAAAGGACTGCCATGTACCTGCCCCAGGGACCACACCTGCTCTCAGGTGGGAGACCCACATCACAACCAGGGAGTCAGGGGCAGGGTTGAAAAGCGCAGACACAGGCTGAGCTAGCAATGAGTGCACTTCAACAGTCCTTCCCCTACATCCCTCCTCTGAGCCCTAGGACAACACCAAGAGGTGGACAGTGTCACCAGGGGAGGGACCACCAAAGGCCCATCCCACCACCATTCCACGTCTCTCTCCATATGCACACACTCTGTTCTGCCAGACCCACCATCCTCCAAATCCAAATCTTCCAACATACCCTGCAAGGGGCTGAGGTCCTGGGAAAGCCCAGTGGGCAGCTCCTGGCCTCCCACCCTGCTCCCCAGCAGAGGAGTTGAGCCTCTCTGCAGAAGCACCTGGGCTACTGGGTCTGGTGAACCCCCGCAAGTTCATGAGTCTTGAGCCCCAAGCGGCATGGAGCCCCCAGGGCAGAGGGGCGATCTGACTCATCCCTAGACCCCAGGGTCTTGCAGACACACATTTGAGCAAATTCGCTCACTGGTAACCTCAGAGGAGTTCAAGAAGCACAAAGTCACATTATCCCTAGAAGAAACCTGTCCATTTCCAGCAGAGAACCGTAAAAAGAAAAAGGAAAAAAAAAATCTTCCTGGTCCTGTCCCGTCTGCACAAACATCTCGAATGGGCTGGATTTTGTTTCTGAGCCCCACGGGGTGGCTTTCCCCCTCCAGGAGCTGGAGCGCAGCGGGTGGGAACTGGGCTGTGGGGGAGGAGGGGCTCCCACGCTCCGCTGGCTGAGCTGGCTGACGGGAGCCGGGCTTCCTGTGGGCCGCAGCCTGCTGACATCACCAAGCGGCCGGCTGCGCAGGGGGCACGCGGGTGTCGCAATGGCAGGCAGCACGCGGGGTCATGTGAAGTTCAGTTCTGGGGTTTTCTCAGTCCATTGGGTTTTACTCTTCCCCTGTCCATTACGCCCGCTCTCTCTCTTGCTTTCCCTTCTTTGTGTGCGTGCGTGCTTTAATGATTCCCTGGCTCTTGGCTGGCTTTCACAGCCCCACATTCACATCTCTCACTGCTGCGGATGACCAGGCACTCCACCCACCGCGCTGTGAGAGGCTGCAGAGAATTCCAGCCCTGAGCGGGTCCCTGGCCAGAAGGGAGGACCTGAGAATGACACGCAGCTAAAGGCCCTTGGAAGCCACAGAGTCCCATCACATCTCCCACCCCCTTTACAGATGAGGGTCACAGGTCCCAAGGACTTGCACAAGGTCACCTAGCTTCAATCTGTGCAAAATGACTCCATTTTTCAAAACTGCTACTACAAAGCATTTTTCAGTTCAGGCAAGACAGACATCGTGCACCGACACCATTCCCACGCAAAGAATTTACAAAAGGAATCATATCTTACAAATGCACAAGCCACGGGAATGTTTTAATAGTCAAACATTAAAAACACCCAAACAAATATTCATCTTGGACATTCCTTCCAGGACTAATAATCAAGTGACCACCGAGTCTGAGAGAGACACGAAGTGGAACAAGAACGGTCCCTCTGTCTTCAAAGAGAACCCAGTGGTGAGACCCAGACGGAGACCAACCCAGGGAAAATAAGAAGCTCTGATTTACATGACATGCCAACAAGTGGTGTTTTCTTTGATTTTCCTAATTTTATCTTAGCCTCCAGATCAGTAAAACATTCACATTTCCACCTTTTTCTTCCCAGATGAAAAGAGAGCATAACTGTCTTTTTCAACCTATGAAGTCAAAAACCACAGGCAGGAGCGGAGAGGAGAGCTCGCACCAGGCAGGGGCTGTGCTGCGGTCGGATGAGGGACATGCTCAGATGACCAGGGCACCAGCCTCCCATCCAGAGGTCAGTCCACAGAGCCCTGCCTTGGAGGAGCTCCCTGTCTGGGACCGTGAGAAGAAAGACCCAGAAACAGATCATTTTTATATACTGTGGTGCATGACCAGACCTAGGCGTGCCAGTGACCAGGGGACAGGGGCAGGAAGCTTGGCAGCAGATGAGGGAGGATGGGGCCTAAGGGCAGCTTCCCTGAGACTCCGTGGGATCCTATTTGGAGGAAGCTAGCTGAGTAGGCTTGGGGCACCCCAAGCTGGGCATTTGGCAAAGCAAAGAGGCCAGAGACGACCTGGGCCGTGGGGAAGGTGAGCAGGACTCCAGTGAATAGTCGGAATGGGGCAATGAGTGGTCATTTTTAATTCCAGTGATTCTCACAGACCTTTTCCACAGCGGTGGTTGTGCTTGGAATCCTTTGCCCCGGGAACGCCTGGGACCCACCTGCAGCAGATCCACAAGGTTGGAAAGCTCCTCATCAGAGCCACCGAGGGCAGGCCATCATTCGGACCCCGAGGGACAATCCAGGTTACCTCTGAAGCACCAGGACCCAGGAGACAGGGTCTAAACAGGGGGTAGTAGGCAGGATCTGCCCTTCAGAAAGATCACCCCAGGCCCAGGGCGGTAGGGGGGAGGCTGTGGAGGAGAGCCCGGGGCCCAGTCACCCAGGTGACTCCACACCTGATGTGGATGTCACAGAGGCCTCATGCCCTAGATAATATGCCCTCCTCAACCTGGACTGAGCCAGACCACTCACTCCAATTCCACGACAGGGCCACCTTCTTTGCACACACACTAAACAAATCAAAAAGGGTGTCTTTCTCACATGAGGGTAAGGAGACCACAGGGCAGAGAGGCAGGGCTGAGGGATGGAGAGGGGATTGGTCCGCAGGGTGACCACAGCCAGACCAGAGAGCAGTGGCTTGGGCTGGGCCACCAACATGATCATCAGGGATCCCTTGCAACCCCCTGCCCCCACCTGCAGAGGACCACAGGTTGCAGCAGGAGAGGAGGAGGACTTGGTGACCACATCCTCCCCTCCTCCAGGTCCTGGGAGAGCAAAGAGCTGATCCATCTCATCCGGGAGACAAACAGATGGGACGTGTGTGGTATGACCCATGGGGCAGTTGGAGAGAGATCTAGATTCGGGGACTCTGAAGGGCTACCCCTCCTCCTCCTCCTCCCAGATACAGCCACCTCTCACCTGGTCTCCTTGGGGTATGATAGTCACTGAAATTCCCACCATTTGTCATTTCTCTGGCATCCAGGACCTAAAGACTGACTACACTGAGAGCTGAGAGCTTCGGTTAGAGTGTGAGTCACTGCAATCTGCTGCTTTGAAATCCACATAGTAAACATTTATTGCAGCCCTGCCCATGCCAGGTACTGCGCTGGGTGCTGGGTGGGGGAGAGGAGATGACTAAGGCTGGTAGAGCTGAGGCTGGGGACGCAGTGAGAAGCCAAATCATGCACACAGGGCCTTGGAAACCCAGTTAAGGGGACTGGACTGGACTCACTGGGAAGTTAGGGAAGGCTTTTAAACCACCGGGGAATGATATGTTCTGATACCATCATTTTGCATCCCCTGGGGTAATAAACACTATGTCATTAGCACCATTAACACCTTAGTGTGAATTAGGTAATCAGATGAAGTGTCACCTTGCAAAAGGCTGAGATGTGGGACTGATAAGTTTTGATGCCAGAGGACTGGAGCCAGGAAGAGGCGGCACCCATGGCCACTCAGTGGGGACAGGGGAGGAGGGAACAGACCCGGAAGGAACCTGGGTGCTCAGTGATCACACCATAAGCATCCTACACATATGATTCATGCCTGTAGATATTTACTAAGCTCCTTGGCCCTGGGCATTGTGGAGAACAAAAGAGATGGTCCCTGCCCTCTAAGGAAAGACAGACAGTAAACAAACCATCAACTAGATCTGTAACTACAAGCTGGGGTAAGGTCTCGGAAGGAAAAGAACAGGGCTCTAGGAAAAAGTGTATCAGGGATATAATTAAGATGGACGGGCAACCAGGAAGGGTCTTAGATGATAGTTAAGCTGAGACCTGACTCACAAAGCAGCTGGAAACTCCAGAAAGAGCATCCAAGGCTGAAGGGATAGCATGTGCCAAGGCCCTGAAGAGGGAAACGTAAGAAGGCCAGGAGAGGGCAAAGGGCCCAGCTAGGGGCAGAGGCTAGAAAGGCAGGCCAGGGTCAGGTCCTGTGGCCTTGGACTCTAATCTTCAAGGGGACAGGAAGCTCCTCAACAATTTTCATAGATGTACCAGATGACAGTCTGTCAGTTTTTGGAGGTCACCCTGGCAGCGGGTGGGAAATGGGTCCAGCAGGTATGGAGGTCAGCGAGGACGGAAGCTGGCCCCAGAGGCTCCCGAGTGGGATGGGAAGGCAGTGGAGAGAGGGCGGGGTGTGGTCCCAGATGTTCTAGAGCAGGGCTGATGGGCTTGGAGGGTCACTGGACGCAGGGGAGGGAGGGGCGGAGGGGCGGCTTCCTGGCCCAGTGGACAGGGGTGCCCTTCACTGAGAGAGGCAGGAGCCTGAGCAGAAGGCAGCAGGGGTGGGGGAGGAGGGCAGGTCAAGTCTTTGATTTGAGTTATGAGAAGCCAGGCCCCCCAAAGGGGCCTGCCGTCCTCTCCAGGGCTCTGTCCTCACCTAGGACGAGTGGTCTCAGCAGGCCTCAGTGGCTGCCGGCAGGCTGAAGACCCCTGGGGTCTGGGCACATTCTGCCTCTCCCTCGTGTCCTGTCAGGGAGAAGGCTTCTCCTGTTCTGGACGTGCCAACCCTGCAGCACAGGGAGCTCCTTCTGCTGCCAGAGTGACAAGCATTGATCCCTGGGACACGCAGCAGCCATTCTTCAAGGAGATGAAATTCCGCCCAGGTCACAGCCACAAGCCTCTCTGTGCCCTGCCGGCCGGCTGCTTCCTGGAGGGGCTCTGCCGACCCCACCCCATGACTCCTCAGCATCCCAGACTCACAGCCCAGGGCTCAGGGGCTCCACCGTGGCCTGCGCAGATGCACCTCCCCACCCTCCAGCCCAAGACCCTCCTGGGACAGAGGTGGCTCCTCACCCGAGTCCCTCCCTCGACACAGATGGCAGCAACTTCAGAAAGCACCTCATCCAATCTTTTTGTTTTCTGAGCCACAAACTGAAGCTCAGAGGTCAAACAGTAGAGCTAAGGGGGTGGGCTGGGGGAATCAAACCTCCAAGTCAGCGCTCTTTCTTGGGGGTCCTTTTCACAGGACCAAAAGTGGCAGCCGACACTTCTGACACACAGTACCTCCTGCTCCTGCCTGGGTAGGTGACCTCAAGCTGCATGGAGCTTTGACACTTAGGAAACAGACCAAGAAAAGAGGGCCAGAGACCCCATGAGATGAAGTTCTCGAGCAGTCTGCACATGGGTGACGTGAGGGCTGTCCTCTCCACACAGCGCTGGGCTCAGGCACAGACAAAAGGTGCCAGGGGTTCCAGGGAGCTTCTCCGGAGATCTTCAGCAAAACCCTAGCTCTTAGCAGAAACAGGTCCACTCACGACGCAGCTTAAGAGCTCATCTAGGCCCAGAGGCCCCTGTGAAGGGAAGGGGGTGGGCAGATCCCACAGAGGAAGTACTTTCTCGGGACAATGACCATCGAGGAAACAAGTTAGCACAGAATACAGTGATCTGGTGTCAACTTGGCCACTGGTGCCAAGCCCCTTGCCAAAGTCATCTGCCCTCAGCCACGCGCCACACAGACTAAGGGGCACTTGGCTGGAAAAGAACAAGGCCCACCATTCGAATGAATGTTGATCACATACAGTGTGCAGAGCATAATAATGTCCCTACTGGGGACAGAGAATGGGGGGGGGGGGCTTCCCTTTCCTGTCCAGGTATTCCTGAACTCGGGATCAAGGAACGGTAGACACAAAGTGCAGAGGGCTGGGCACACACAAGGGCAGTCCCTTCCTCCTAGAATCTCCATCTAGAATCAGACATGCTGATCAACATTTCTTAACCTAGCAAACCCACTGCTGACCACGACAGGATGGACACAAAGCCACCCTAGTTCTATGAGAATTGGGAAAACATTCATTCATTCATCAAACCCTAAGTGAGCATGTTGTGTGGTACCAAGCCTTGTGCTAGACGCAAGGATCAGGACAGCGGAGGAGTACCACGTGCTGCCCTGACCATCCTGGAAAAGCTCTCAGCTGTCAAAAGTGGCAGGGAAGTGGGGGAGGGGGAAATCCCGAAATCTGATCTGATCTACCTCCTGCCTTTGAACAAGGCCACCACAAAACCAGCAGGGCCTGTTCCATACCTCTCAGCCGGGGCCCCTTTCCTTCCTAGAGGTTTCCTGTCTGCCTTCTGTAGCATCGCTTCCCACCACCCTTAGCTGTCCACACCGCTCCAAAAGGGGAAAAAATTCACCACCTTAGCCCAAAAGTCATGAATCCAAGAGAGCACTTATGGAGGTCCAGCAACAAGCCAGGCTGAGAAAGAGCCCATGGCGGTCCCTCAAGCGGGTCCCTTGCGGGGATGTCCAGAGCGCCACAGCTGGCCCAGGAACTGGAAGAAAGCTGCTGGGTGTTAGAGCAGCGTCCAGTATGAGCTGGGGACCTGGGAAGGCCACACCCGCCCCTGCATCCACAGTGGTGAGCTGAGGAAACTGAGGCACTGGGAGGGTGAGTGGTACTCTGGGGACCCCAGGTCAGCAGCTCACCCAGCCAGAGCCAGCCTCCATGCCAGCTCAGTCACCAAAAGCCTGTACCCAAGGCCAATCATAACCACATGTGCACAGCACTTGACCCTCTTCCAAAACTCCTTCCCATCCCTTTGCTCTCTCCTGATCCTCACAGCAGCCTTCCATTGGGCAGGATGGGTCTTATGTGTGTCTTATGTGAAATAAAGTGAGTCCAGGAGGCTGGGTGCCGTGTCTGAGGCCACATGGAAGAGACTCAGTGCGCAGGTCTTGCCAGCCCTGGCCCACTCCTCTTCCTCTAGGGTGGCAGATGGCAGCAACAGGAGTAAGAAGAAAGCACAGGACGCTTGGTCCTGTACAGAGGAAGTTGACAATCAGATCGGGGCGGATGAATGACACACAGACAAGTTACCTTCATGGAGAAGGGCCAAATTAACACATTCAAAAATATTTACTGAGCTATGTACCAAAGCGAGGAAGTGAATCAGCAGAGAAAGAAGAGTGGTCAAGAGCGAGCAAGGTGGTCCAGGCAAAAGAGAGGGAACCATTCTGGAAAGGAGGGAGGGTAAGCATCCCAGGAAACATAAAGGAAGCCCAAACATGACAGTGACTGGGCATAAGGTACCCTGGAGAGGAATGTGGAGGAGCAAAGGGATTCAGAAAGTAAATTTGCAAAGTGGTCAGCTCAGCAGAACTTGAATACTCTGCTAAGGGAGCCCATCTACAGAAACGTGATTCGTCCAGTTCCTCCCTGTCCACCCTAGATCACCCCCTTGCTCTGCCAGGAGCATGACCAAGACCTTTAAGAGGCACAGAATTCTAGGTGTCCCACAGAATTGCCTGGGATCTGGTGCTTGTCACTCAGCACACATCTACCACACACAGCAGCCTAGACTGGGCAGACCCCAAATTCCTGCACAGGAGGAATGATCTGAACACCCACAAATACACTCCACTGCTAGAGAGAAGGCAGGCTAAGGCATACTTTGAAAACGGCCGCATTTTGCACATTTTAAGTGGTTTTCACACATTTCTGAGCAAGAGCATGACTGCTGCATGTGTGAACATAACAAGTTTCAAGAGGGAAAAAAACAGTGGTTAAATCTGACTCATCCTCCTCTCCTGGCTTTTTTCTCTTTCAACACATACACACCCCCAACACACATGGCATTTCCCCTGAGACTGGTCAGACTGGCAGGTGGGCCTGGGGGTACCTGGGGAATCCATCAGGCCAACTCCCTGCGCTCTCAGTGTGATGACCTCCAGGGTGACCCGAGAAAACACAATTAACCCGAGGACCAGACCAGGGTTTTCACTGGCACTGCCTTCAAGAGAGCAGGCGTCTCTCAACCCTGCGGAGTCGATGGCAGAATAAATCCTGAGCGCTCGGAGCGCCACTTCCCATTTTCCCGGAAAACGAAGGCGAATCAGTCCACAAAGAACAACTCCCAACACTAATCGGGGTGTGTTCCTTCTTCCCTATTCTTCAACAGTCCTCACCATCCTGCCCGCCCTTGGGCTCCATGACCATTTCACAAGAGCCAAGCGCTCAGGACCCAGTTCACACAGGTGCTCACACCAACTCACAACCTCTCCACGGAGAGGCTGGGGGTGCTGCTGACACTACAGGACAGGGGGCCGAGGCCTGGGAGCACGGTTTCCCCTGACTCACGCAGCTAGTAAAACCCAAACCGTGATCCTGGATCTTACCTCAGCTGCTGAGAAAACCACCGAACTTCCAAGATTCTGAAACCATGCTTGGCTTCTCCTAGGGATTAATATACATCTAATTCAATGACAGCTCAACTCTTCAGATGGCATCACTGTCACTGTCATTACTGTCACTCGATGGCCACCAACCAGGATAGTCTGCTACAGCTGGTCTTGAGAGAAAAGGCGGGCCTGCCGACTACGGAAGCAGAAGGACCGCCGCAGGGCTTGCTAAATTTGAAACCCTCTCCTGACATCCAGGCATTTAAACAGCTCATTGACTCCCGCCCATAAATATTACTATAAGCTACAGTTTCATTTACTCTGAGCCGGAGTCAGAAGGGTCTGAAAGTAGAGTGGGCACAAATCGGGTCCTGGAAAGCTGCTTATTTCCTTGTGTTAGATGTTTATCGTCAAAGAGAAGAAGCTGCGCCACAGGAAGACTCTCATCACACCCGAGGGTGTAGGTTCACACCAAACCGCCCCTTTCACTCAGTGCCCAGAGCCAGCGGCACAACCAAAGTGTTCTAGACACACACCCAAGGGCACAGCCCAGCCTCCCGAGCCAATCCTGAGCCTGTTCCACCAGCACGGGACACACAGCTTCCCTGAGCACACTAGGAAGGCACAGAACGCCGGGTGGAACAGGGCTGACCCTTTGCAACCCAGGGGTGTCCAATTATGTAAAGGAGCTAAGACCTGCACGGAGAGTGAGAAGGCAGCATCCAACTCTGAACTTTGGTACCTTGCTCTGGGTCCTTGGGGAGATCCTGAGCCTTCTCTGGGTCTCTGGCTCCTAATAAAGGTGGAGCCTGAATTAGACTGTCCCACGTGTGATTCAGTCTCTTGCACACATACACAACCCCTTCCCTTCTCTCTCACTCAACACAACCGTGTCAGAGACCAAGTCAGTGAGAAGCAATAGCACAGGAACACACCTGTTTTTATAGACACTGGGATCTCATCACATATATAGAAAGCCACCGTTTTAGCCATTTTAATGTGTACAGTTCAGTGGTGGATTCATTCCCAGTACTGCA